GGGGGGGGGGGTTCTCCTGACTTAAGGGACTGCCTTGTATTTTAGAGCTGATGTCTTCCTCCAGACTCTGGAGCCTCCCCTACGCCAAATGTGAGTTCCCCAAGCCACAGGGAGCTTGTGAATGTCCAGGGGAGGGAGTGTCCCCAGGGGACCCGAGAGCTCCACAGCCCTAGCACACACTTCCAGGTCCTGTTAGCGAGCCCTCTGTCAGGAATGTCCACCCAGGGACCACGGCCTCTGCTGGCCCTCTAGGGATGGGGGCTCACCACCTCCCTGCAGGGTTCCAGAGGATAGTCATCCTAACACCCCCTCCCCTTTCCCAGTGCCCTCCTCTCTCCGATCCACAGGGAAGTGCCTCCTGTACTGCAATGGTGTCCTGGAGCCCCTGTACTTGTGCCCAAATGGTGCCCGCTGTGCCACCTGGTTCCAGGACCCCACGCGTTTTACGGGCACCTTGGTGAGTTGTGCCCTCAACCGTGTCTCTAGGCATTCCTGAGGGCTTTGCATTGGTCACGCTGCAGACTCAGAAAAGAATGAGCGACGCAAAGCAAGTAGGGGTGGCCGGTTCAGTTTGGGAAGGGCTTCCCTGAGGAGGTATCATCGCTATGAGGTTTTGAAGGGTGGGCAAGAGTTCACTTGGAGCTAAGTGGGTGATTGAGTGTGTGGGGGCCTGAGCGACTACCGCCAGGACTCTGGGCAGTGGGCAGAGGTGAGGGCATCAGGCTGGGGCCAAGTATGGGTCAGCCCCCTCATGGAGCGTCTTCACCTTCCTCCTTGCGGACTGGTGTCTGCTTGGCCAGGATGCCTTTGTGAAGATCGTGAGACATGAAGGCACTAGGACCCTGTGGAGCGGCCTCCCAGCCACCTTGTGAGTATCCCAGCTTGTGTATTTGCTTTTCCTTCCTGGACTCCTCTGACCCGTTCCTCTCCTGTTGGCTGACTGGGGCAGGGGAGGCCTGGGAGGTTTGGGAGGTTTTGGGAGTCCCAGCTAACCTCTGTTCACACTCCCAGGGTTATGACTGTGCCGGCCACTGCCATCTACTTCACCGCCTATGACCAACTCAAGGCCTTCCTTTGTGGTCGAGCCCTGACTTCCGACCTCTACGCACCTATGGTGGCTGGCGCACTAGCCCGCTGTGAGCACAGCCTTGGGCCCTGGATCTCTCTCTCTGACCCCCACCTGCGCTTGAGTCCGGTTCTGGCTTCCAGCTCCAATGTCTGGCAGCTTAGGGGTAGAGGGATCTCTTGGGCCCCCAGATCCTGGGACAGGTTGCCGTTGGGCCCTGTGAGCTGACCTCTCTCCACTATTCCCCCTAGTGGGAACCGTGACTGTGATCAGCCCCCTGGAGCTGGTGCGGACAAAGCTGCAGGCTCAGCACGTGTCATACCGGGAGCTGGGTGCCTGTGTCCGAGCTGCCATGGCTCAGGGCGGCTGGCGCTCGCTGTGGCTGGGCTGGGGCCCCACTGCCCTTCGGGATGTGCCCTTTTCAGGTAGGAATCAGGGGTGCAGGGGCTGGGGTAACGGAGCCTTTGGATGACTCACAAGAGTTCTGCAGTTAAATCCCAGTTGTGCTATTACTGACTTTGAAGTCACCTGACTTCTCTGGGCTTTGGATATCTCATCTGTGCAATGGGGCCAGCAGGCAGGGTATTCACCCAGGTTTTCAGAAGTAAATTTCTGCAGAGGGCCCGTTACAGAAACTGGCACGTAACGAGCAGTCTTTGTTACCAGGAGGGAGGGCTTGTCACATTGTGCAGCAGTGGAAAATGGGAGGTCTGGGGCCACCTTGCTGCCCTCTCCAACTCTAATGAGCGTATCCTTGCGCCCCCAAGCCCTGTACTGGTTCAACTATGAGCTGGTGAAGAGCTGGTTGAGCGGGCTCAGGCCAAAAGACCAGACATCCGTGGGCATCAGCTTTGTGGCTGGCGGCATCTCAGGGACGGTGAGTTGATCGGACAGGGAGTGAGGCCAGTGGATGTGTCCTTGGGAGGCCTGAGGGTTGTTGGAGGTGCTCAAGAGAAGAGTGCTCGTGTAGCAGCAGGTGGCTGCCTGTTGAGGAGCAAGCTCACCCTCCCTGGTGAAATCCTAGTTAAGGTTGGCAGACCCTGGCTGGATGCGGGGGATGGGGGTCCTGGGAATGGAGACCAGCTCTCTCCCTACCCCACCAGGTGGCGGCCATCCTGACTCTACCCTTTGACGTGGTGAAGACGCAACGCCAGGTCGCACTGGGAGCGGTGGAGGCTGTGAGAGGTGAAGGTTCTGGCTGGTGTGGGGCCAGGCAGGTGGGGGCCCAAGCGGGGTCTTACTGGGCTGTGCCTTACGTTTGCAGTGACGCCCCCACACGCCGACTCCACCTGGCTGCTGCTGCGGAGGATCCGGGCTGAGTCTGGCACCAGGGGACTCTTTGCAGGTGAGTGTCTGTGTGTGTTTGTCCAAACTTGGAAGGATTGGGCCCCTCCCAGGACCCTGACCTCTGACCCTAATCTCCGTCTCCCATTGCAGGCTTTCTCCCGAGGATCATCAAGGCTGCCCCCTCCTGTGCCATCATGATCAGCACTTACGAGTTTGGCAAAAGCTTCTTCCAGAGGCTCAACAGAGAACAGCCTCTGGGCTCTTAAAAGGAGCCAGGGGACAAGGACCCTATCTCTTCCATGGATGGGGGTGGGGCAGAAGGAGACTGAGCCAAGTGCCTTGTCCTCAGCACTGAGGGGAGGAGCCTCATTTCCCTTCCCTCTCAACTATGAGCTCCAGGGGTTGGGGCTACCCCTCTAGGTCTGCGAAGGCCCCCCTAAAACAGCTTTCTTCCTGCTGTTCCTCATTCCCAAGCCCCAAGGATAATCACTTTTCCAGCCCCCCGCCCCGACCAAGTTCAAGACCAAATCTGATAACTGCCCCCTCCCTTCCCACCATTTCCCTGTGTTTGCTGTAGCTGGGTCTGCTTCTGGGAGCCACAAAACCCTGGGCCTGGTGTAGTCTGCACCCTTCCCTGTTAATTCCTTGAGTCTAAAGATGATGAACTTCTCTCCAGTGCCTGTGAGTGCAGGGGGGTCGGGGTGGGGAGGGAACTGGGACTTGGTGAGTGATTTGCACAGAGGGGGTCTGGAAGGGACCTTGACAGCGGCTTTTACTGCCCAGGTGGTACCCATATAAAGCACCCCCTTCCTTATTTAGTGAGAGCTGGGTCAGTGCAAGGACCCAGAGTTGGGGGTGACAGGTAGTGTTAGGGCCAGGGTAGAAGGTGGTGCAACCTCTCCCCAAGGGCACACTTCAGTGACAACAGAGGAGGGAGGTTGCTTCTTTGGGTCTGCAACTCTGGGCCAAAGCTGAATTGCTCAGGGTGCCGGAAAGAGAATAGGGCCCTGCCAGGGCTTGCCTCCTCCACCTGCGCCCAGGATGTTCAGTGTTCTCTGCTTGGGGCTAAGCAAGTTATTAAGAGTATTAGGCTGAATGGAGCATTTACATGTCTGCTGGGGAAAGGCCTAACATTTAGGACCCTTCTCAGGAAAGCCACCTACTCCTGGCATTCTTCTGACAGATCTGCTCCCATGGGGCACACACCCATTCTGTCTGGTCTAGCATCACCTTCGTTATGGGCCCAGCACCGGCTCTATCAGATTATGCCACCTCAGGACAGTGTCCAGTCCCAGCCCCCCACAGACAAAGTTGCCCTCAGTCTTCTGGTTTTTATTTGCCTGATCCCCTCAGAGCCCCTGCCCTGGGGACTGGGAAGGGAGGGACTCCAGGGAATACACAAGGACAGACTGAAGAGGCATGGGAGGTGGGGGTGCTGAGGCTGGGCCACCAGCTCCTGAGGAGGGTGGTGGGGATGAGCGAAGAAGAGTCCAGTGGGAAGCCAGCCAGGCGTCAGGGTCACCAGAAGAATGGAACAAACTTTCCCAAGGATTCCCTGTGGCCGCGGTGCCCCTGTAGCCTGGCCCAGCCGACTCCCCTTTGCAGCTCCTGCTCCCTTGGGCAGAAAGCTAAAACTGGCGAGAAGCAAAGGGTGCCTTTCGCAAGAGACCCATGGCTGGGTGGGCAGCGTTCCCTGGAAAAGTGGCCTGGACTGGGGGACTCAGGAAAGGCGGCAGGTGTCTGTGCCCCTGGCCAGGGTGGGGGTGGGGGGGCTGGCGTTGGTGCCGCCCACACCGCTCCTCAGCTGGGGCTCAGTGCTGGGCTGCCCTCAGGACTGTCGCTCACCAGGCACTCGTTGGATTTGAAGCTCGCCAGGGACTTGCAGCTGGGGATGGAGGCCAGGGAGCCGCAGAGGCCCAGCATGGAGGGCGTGGGGTCCTTCCCTGGGGAGAGAGGGCAGGTGAGGCCAAGCCAACTGGTCTGCCTGTGTGTGAGTTGGGGAGGGGGGTACAGGAGAAGGCAGTGGAGGGGCAGCCCTCAGGTGAACCCCCCCCCCCCCAGGAATTTTTCCTCATCTCTGGAGCATTTGCCATTTTCAGTTAAACCTGGATAAGCATCTGCCCATGCCATGCACAGTGCCAGGGACACTGTATTGTAATCGTCAGTTTATGTCTCTGTCTCCCCCTGAGGTTCATCCTCTCTGTCTGTTTATTAAACACGCGGTGAGCACTTGTTCCGTTCCAAGCACTGGGGATACAGAGAACGGACGAGACACGGTCCCTGCCCTCACGGAGCTCACAGTCTGGTGGGGAGACAGACACACGGACAATCACAAACACAGTGTGGCGGGGTTCCACGTCCATAGCCTGCCTTGTCTCAAAGAAGATCTAAAATCATCCAGTACAGTGTGGTTTTTAGAAAGAAAAGGCAGAAGTCCAGGCACCGGGAAAACTAGGGCAGGGAACCAAGGTGAAGCCAGGGGAGGGCAACACAAAATGCATGCGTTGAAGTCCTGGACATTCGCTTGAAGAGAGCCACTAATTTGGCTCTGAGCTTCCTGGCAGCCAAAGAAAAGGGGGAAACAATGGTCAGGCAAGCGGTTCGCAGAGTGCATGAGATAAGAGCAAATCAGTTAGGCAAAGAATTCCCCAAGAATTTGTGAGCCCCTTGAGGATGTCATCATGCCAAAAAGCCATTGAGCCCTCACCATATGCCAACATGGGTGGTTATTTTAATCAGCATCCCCATTTTACAGATGGGAAGTGCTCAGCCAGGTGAAGTGACTGACTGAGCTGGCAGGGGAGGAGGCACAGCTAGTTTGCCCTAGGGTCTGCCCAACACCCCCAAACCAAACTTAATTGCTGTGCTAAGCTCTCTGGAAGGGCTGAATGAAAGAGGGAATTGTCCAGGGCCAATTCCATAGGCCCCAAGGCCTGGCCTCAGCCCTTCTTGGAAGAGTTGGGTGCTGGATTGGGGGCTCACCGATGGGGCCCCAGGGCTCCTCATCCCGTTTGCCCTCTCCCAGGCGCTGGGAGTCCGAGCTCAGACTGGCTTCAGCTGACAGCGGCTCCGTGCTCATGAAACTGTGTCTGTGGCAGAGCAGAGGGCTGGTGTGCAGGCAGAGGCCTACAGCCCCTTCCCCCCCGCCCTCCCAGTGCCCCTCTTCCCAGTAAGGGCCAGCACTCGGGCCCAAGCCGAGCCTGGCTGAGGCTTACCTCCGGTAGAGCTTGGGGTTGTTGG